CCAAGAATCCCAACGTGCGCGACGTGAACCGTCAACTGGGCTTGCCATCAAACCCCCAGAGATGTTGGCATTTCTTATGGTGGGCATTCCGATAACGCCTACCAGGATTCAATGTGGCCCCCGTGTTAGGTCAGTATATTTTAAGGGTAATAGGCGGTGCCTTTTAAAACCCTATTGAGAAGGGTACATGTAATAATCTAAATTTAAATAAACGTGGTACTAAAATGTTGTCAGTAATATACACACTTAACATAATATTTCTCTTCGGAAATGCAGCACCGAAACTCTAGAACATTCAGTTGTAGATGATATCGGTAAAATGAACTGACAATCATCCGCATTAGCGGTAGGTGTATGCAAGGCGTTGATTTGGCACAACAGCTGTTCTGTTCAGACAAGCGGTATTTTCCAAGCATATATACATCTAGTCTTTGATTGAACGTCTCCGTGGTATCCACCATCATATATATATATATATATATATATATATATATATCATATATATATATATATATATAGATTAAGTCTTTGCTTGAATGTCCCCGTGGGTCCGCCATTATCATGTCCTCGGGAAGCGCAACCAGTTCTTGGCCCGTTCTGGGGGCACACGCACAGACACACAACAGTTCGATCATCGCAAGCGACGACCTCAACCGCGTATCCCGCGATGTGGGCGCAGCACCTGTGACTTTCGATAATGACTGTCGGTTTTGCTGCTACTGCTAATTCGACCGTTCGCTGTTTCTCTCAAGGAGTTGGCGCAATAACCGGTGACTTGCGTGTGCGTTAATTTATTGTGGGTCGGACATGTGCAGCATCTTCATCGTTGCCTCCTCACACACTTCGATCACAGGAACAGATCAAAACAACGGTGGGTGGACGTGGTTGCAGTGGCTAACAGGCCATCTACGCGTGCGTGCCACACGACCTCACTAACTCCACATGCACTCAACTTCATCTAGGGGTCTCATATCTCACGCGATTGACACTGGTTCGCCGCTCTCAGTGCGATGGATTCGAAAGTGACCGATCAGACCGGTGAATGACGTAATGGTGCAATCGCAATGGGAACAGGTTGAGATAAGGCCCATATTGATGGCACTTTCAAAAGGTAATATGTGGAACTAACTTATCTGCGCTTGTGAGCCCCTTGGTGGCGGTAGTGGAGGCGTGTTGTGAAATGCGAGCCAGTTCAGTCGTGTTGCCGTTGCACTTGGTCCACCGGTGCCTGTCCGCGCCTCTAACGTCCGTTTAGAGCGTGGACGTGATGGTGAGATTCGGTTGCTAACGTCATTGGTCCGTGGCACTTGAGTCTTAGCGGGAGTTTTACCAACGACGTCCGATTAACTTCGAGGGCGATTGCTCTAGTCTCTTCGACGGTGGGCCAGGTATGCCGCACCCGAGGTATGTCCTCCCAGCTTGAGGGAGGTCATCAAGGTGTCTCCGTAGCGACGATTCTGTCCGCGAGCAGCCAGAGCTACGTCACCACAGAACAGCCGCTTGGGCACTCGCTCGTCCATTCTCGCGGTGTGCGCATTACATGGTGGGAGAAGGCTGAACTTTACTGATCAGAATCAGCAGGTGCTTCCAACATCGCTCCAAACATCTGCTGACCTGGGATTTAGACGACGGATAGGCGGCCTTTCGGACCGACAGCCCTCGGTCCAAAGTCCAACAGGCAAGTTCACGACGGTTTATCAATGCGGGGTGCCGAAACTGGCATCGCCAATAGGTCAGACCATATTCTCTTTCGTACACGTCGGAAGTTCACCTCTTATCCTAACCAAAGGTGTCGTTAGAAAGAAGCCTTAGTATCGCAAAATTAAAACATCCGAGCACCACCAAGGCCCCGAGCGCAGAAATCCGGTCTCGTTTAACGACCCAAGCCGACGGTCAAGGCAGTAGCCAATGGTTGTAATTTAGGTCCTCAGACTATAGGGCAGCAGGGAAAATTCTTGGATTCACCAAGTGGTGCCGCAGTGACTGGATAAGTGGAAGAACCCTGCGGATGTCTGTCCGGACGGTTTGAACTAGGTTTCTCAATGATGGTTCCTTCCGCCAACTGCGGAAGATGACGATGCTCTGGTTCCATAAGTTGCATGAGCAAGCGTGGGGAGATGGGATCGTTTCTGATGATTGGGGCTCAGGTATCCTTGTGCCTGTCTTCAAGATGGGAGAAAAGGCCAATTACGAGAACTACCGCGCCTCATCGACTTTACTGCGAAGGTTATCGCCGTTGTGCTTCTCAGACGACTCCAGGCCGTGCGTAACTAGGAGGTCTAAACAGGTCGGATCCTGAGCTAAGCGTAGATACGCGGATTAGATATTCAGACTGAGGCGCATTCCTGGATTCTGCCACGATTACGGGGCACCGACGGTCGTCTGCTTTGTTGACTTCGTCGCAGCGTCGGTTTCCGTTCGCCCCGAGTCCCTCTGGCTGGTAGTGGAACTAGATTTGACAGTCCGACCGGTGTGCCCGAGAATGCCCACCGTGTGCCCTACAGCAAGCTGAGGGCAGGCACGATGACTTGTGCGTGACTTAATGTATAGTGAGCGCTGACTTGCGCAGCATCTACCGCACCCCCTCCTTCCCGCTAGATCCCGGTGTCAAGACATAGTCAAGAAGACCGGAGGCACGAGAGGGCGCAGGTGGCTGGCACGTACGGACACACACCTAGGCGCACCAACACACCCCTGATCCACAATATACACTCGACCAGGATTCTAGCCAACAACAAAAGAGGATGACTGGGTAGCCATGCTCACGGCGCATCTACCGGCGGGGGACCAGGTGCAATACAGCTGCCAGCGCATACCAGGCTGCGAGGGCCGTGGTTTGCTGAATCAGGGCATAACAGACGCACGCAATCCTCAAGTCCCAGAAGTGTGAGACGCAGCCCTGGGCCATCACCCTTCAAAGGCCGGGTAATCAGTCACTCATCGACCGAGAGTTATTACCCATATACACACTCTCCTCGCATGCGTGAGGGCGCCAGAGGTCACTTTAGGAATGAGCCGTTCCAGCCTGGCTCTCAGCCCATCAGTCCGCCACTCCGCACAAACACACGCAACTGGGCAGACCGTGTTTACCGAGTTGAGGCAGCAGTCGACAACCTTCCGAGCCACGGCGCCTTGTAGACACGCGGACAAAGCAGTTCAAAGAAAAAAACAGCCGCCGCAGATAATTCCGACAATTAGAAACCCACGAGTCCCCCCCACCCCCCCCCCCCTCAAAACACCTTACAACTCGCCGAGCCTGCATTCATCTCACATAGTCAGCCCACACCACTACTTGCTTTTCAACAATACGAAACTATCGCGAGACTGAACGATAAAAAACAAGCGCTCCAGGGTTATAGTGCTAACCAAACACCACTCATCCTCAGACGTAATCATCATCTGCCATTCTGCTATCTCTACGCTCAACTAGATAGTGTGTGGCATCTAAGCAGTGAGTGTACTCGACGCGCCACATGACTCTTAGCGTGGCGTGGGTGCCAGAGGCAGAAGGCTTAAGCTCGTTTGAGGCGTTAGAAGTATGTCGGCAAAAACTGTTCCCATGGCTACTATTGTCCCACAAGTGCGCGATTTCTGGTCCATAACATTCTCCCAAATATTCATGCATCAAATTTCGGTCCGCTCCCATATTAGTTTAGACTCCAAGTAAACTTGACCCAAATGTGATTAAACTCGCATCGTCCGGTGGGGCCTCGTAGCTCAGATGGTTAGTGTTGGCGGTACTAAAGCCTCCCCCTGCTGTCGTGGGTTCGAATCCCATCGAGGCACCGAGTTTTTCACAGTTGGGTCAAAGTGAATTATTTGAAATCTGTCATAACACATATGAATTTCTAAACCGGAGTATCGATCAGAAAGCACACAGGGAATGTTGGGAACCCACTGTTGAGCCGAACCCCTCGCAGCTGTGACACGCAGCGGCAGAATATCGGCGAAACCCGTGTCTGGGCTTTCAGTCAGTACCTATGCTGCTAATATGGTGTCTTGTATCACTAAAGTCTCCCAACCGTTCGATATCCGATCTGGCGTTTGGTGAGGTTGCCTCCTGTCTTCCATTCCGTTAAACTTGGTTCTCTGAAGATGTGGTTATGAAGCCCCACCTGATGGATACAATACTGTTAGGGGTTAGGACACCTATTTCCTAACCACTCAAAGTACAACCGCGCATTCCCAATAGCCTTTCTTTTGCATACAACTACTTAACCTCGTCGCCTGTTCGTTCCCTGGCCCCACCTGTAAAAACTCCTGTTACCACCGGTGACGTATTACAGGTGACTGGAGTTTCTTTACTTCAGGTGCGGCCACACAACGACATCTGACCGAGCCCCACAAAGTTTTGACGATGTTTAACTCGCACGCGTATGATCGATCTTGACTACGCCGACGATATCACCCTGTCGACCTCGAGCTACGGTCTCTGGTGTCTGGAGTGAATGGGCTCTCTAATTCTGTTGGTTTAGCCATAGACGCTGGTAATGCCAAAGTTCTAC